CTGCCCAGTAGCTCCAGGAGCCTGCTGACCCCTGTGCTCACACCTGAGCTGGGATGTTTATTCCCTTCAGCCTCTCCCCAGGAATTATTCCAGGCAAAGCCATCAAACCACTTTGCCAAAAACAGAAATTAAAAGCTTCCCTCCGTGAAGGAGAAATTCCCCCCATCACCACTAACAAAGGCAGAGCTGGTGCCCAGAGCTGCATTTTTAAGAGAAGATTCCTATTTATCTAATATTCATATTTTGCCCTGAGCATCAAGAGGCTTTCAGGAGAGTCAGACACCAAACACATTTGAATCCAGTAGGAAGGAACAGGAGCCTCCAGCCTCCTGGGTTTGTTTTAAATCCCATGGATCATCCCAGTCACCGTGGGCTGACCCCAGTGTGACAGAAGGAAGAGGAGGTACCTAAAGAACTGGTGTGGGTGCTCCCTTTAAATCATAAATCAGACAAGAAATCTCCTTCTCAAAACGAAAGGATGTTCCATGAATGGCTTTGATCAGTTATTGATCAGGACAATCATTCCTGGATGTAGCAACAGCAAAGAGCAGGACACACCCACAGACCTTCAACACAACTGCAGTGCTGCCTCCCTGCTCCTGCCACAGCTTTGAGGATGAAAATAATTAAAAAATAACACATTTTTGCATTAATATGTTCTTTGGAAAAGACTTTTCCTTTTCTGGTAGCTTTAAAAAGGAAGAGCAAAGGTGGAGCACTGAAAGGCTTTTACCACACAGCAGCAACAACTCTCTTTTCTTCTCCTGCTGCCAAGAGCCAGAAAAAAAATCTACATCTTTATACATCTGTAGAGTTTCAATCACCTGCTTGATCTGAGAAGAAATGCTGTGCAAAATGAGAGCCTGCAAACCACTGAGATGAGCTGGGTTGTTAATTCCAGATCAAATTTCCCCACATGCTGGGGATGTTCCAGCTCAGCTGCAGACTTGGCAGCTCCATTCCTGCAATGGTCCAAACCCAAAACTCAGATGCAACAACACCAAAAGCTTGGCTGACCCCTGGGGTTTGAACATCAGGACACCAGGGGGTCCCCAAAATCCAGACATTGGTTTAAACAGGGAGAGATTTAACAAACAAAACCAAAAAACCACAAAACATCAACACCAAAAAACCAAATGCCCAAAAAAACCTGAGATCTTTTAACTGCCTTTAGCTTGAGCTTCCCCTTCCCCTGTGCTGCAGTTACACCAAGTGCATTATCCACACTTCCATGTCCAGTTCCAGCATTATCCTGGCACCAGGGGTTCCTGATGGGGGTTCAGGGTGACACAGGAGTGTTGGCTGCACAGGCCCAGGTCAGTGGAATGCCAGGGAGTCCACTTAACACTTGGGTCTGGATTCAGAATCATCTCAATTAGTGATTATTCACCAGCTCATCCCCACCCTAAGGCTCTACAGTCTTACAGAAATATCCCACTGCAAGCAGGGTGGGAGAAGTGGGAAGAGGGACAGTGCACAGTGGGATGTAGCACCCAGCTCTCCCAATTACATCTTCCCACTAAACCCAACACATCTTCCCTTTTCACACCCAGGTGGGGACAAACAAGTCACTGGTGTCCTTCTTACCCCGATAAGACGCCCAGCACCAAGTTGAGCATGAAGAAAGAGCCAATGATGATGAGAGGGATGAAGTAAAGCCAATTCCAGGTATTTCCTGCAGCGTCGTTTGTCTGGAAACAAAGAAAAAGGGAGAGACAAAACCAAACATTAATTCACCTCAGAAACAAAACACCACACAGAACCTGCAGGGCAGAGGGCAGGAAAGAGTCCCCTTGGATTTCCTGGGCTCATCCACCACTGGTGGTTGGTTCTGGTGTGTTCACCAGCTCAAATGGCAGCAAAAGAACTGAGGAACCAAGTGATTGTCCCACCACCCACAAGAGGATTTGTCATCAGCTCCCGGGAGAAGATTCATCTGATGCCTCTGGACGTGACCTGGATGAGGGGATCGAGTGCCCCCGAATCAGTTGGCAGATGACACCAGGCTGGGTGGGATGTGGGTGTGCTGGAGGGCAGGAGGGCTCTGCAGAGGGGTCTGGACAGGCTGGATCCATGGCTGAGGCCAGCGGGGTGAGGGTCAACAGGGCCAAGTGCCGGGTCCTGCACTGGGGTCACAACAACAACGTGGGATGCTCCAGGCCAGGGCAGGGTGGTTGGAAAGTTGGAAAAGGCCCTGGGGGTGCTGGTGAGAGCCACTGAACATGAGCCCAGGTGTGCCCAGGTGGGCAAGAGCCCAGTGGCCCCTGGGCTGTGCCAGCAATAGTGTGGGCACAGGACCAGGGCAGTGCCCGTCCCACTGGTGAGGGCACTGCTGGGGCACCTCCAATCCTGGGTTCAGTTTTGAGTCCCTCAGAACAAGAAAGACATTGAGGGGCTCCTTCCAGGGAAGGGAATGGAGCTGGGGAAGGCTCTGGAGCAGCAGGAGCAGCTGAGGGAGCTGGGGGGGCTCAGCCTGGAGAAAAGGAGGCTCAGGGGGGACCTTCTGGCTCTGCAACCCCCTGACAGGAGGGGGGAGCTGGGGGGGGTCGGGCTCTGCTCCCCAGTAACAGACAAAAAAACAAGAGCAAATGGCCTCAAGCTGCACCAGGGGAGGTTTAGGTTGGACATCAGGAGGAATTTCTTCCTGGAAATGCTTGTCCAGCCCTGGCACAGCTGCCCAGGGCAGTGGTGGAGTCATCATCATCATCCCTGAAGGGATCTAAAACATGCCACAGGCAGCTGTGGCCCTTGGGGACAGGGTTTAGTGGTGGCCTGAGCAGTGCTGGGGGATGGTGGGACTCCATGACCTTAAAGGCCTTTTCCACCCTAAGTGATTCCACAGCTCCAGGCTGACCCTACAGCAGGGCCAAGAGGCATTTTTAGGTGACCTGACTCTGGGCAGGCTTTTCCAGCAGCCTCTTCTCTCCCCACCTCAACCCTTCCCATCAGCATCCCGTTTCCAGGTGAACTGAGGAGGCACCGGGAGGGAACCACAGCCCTCCCTTCATCGGGGCTGCAATTAAGGCCGGGGTGGCACCGTGCCCGGAATGGGCACACACAGACAAGGAGTCTGCAAGAAAACCAGGCGTCTTCCCAGGGATTGCAGCTCCACAGCTGCTCACTCAGCACTTTCCTGTCGCCAAACTCCATCCTCGCTCCCTGAGTAAGCACCGGGGAGGGGAGGGGAGGGGAGGGAGGGGAGGGGTTTTAGGGTGTGACAAAGTTCCCGCATTCATCGACCACCAGGGAGCTCTTCAGGGAACTGCTGAGAAGGAAAATGCCACGTGGGCATTTAGCGAGCGCTCAGGAAAATGCAAATTCCTCTCTTGTGAGTGAAGAATGCGGCGATTGGAGGATCTGGTGTAAAGGAAGGGAATAAAGGACGAGCAAAAAGGAAAGGAAAGGTCCCAAAAAGGGAAAAGGGAAGTAAAAACCCAAAAGGAAAAGGAAAAAGGAAAGGGAGAAAGGGAAAAAAGGGGGAAGGGGAAAAAAGGGG